GTAAGGTCAAAAGGAAACTAATTGGGCCTTTGGTCAGAGAAGTACTGTTTTGAAGGCCCATTAGTTAATTGTAGGCGTGATAACGGGCTGGGCCTGGAAAATTATCACACAAAGGGTTCCTCCTCGGAAAATGTTATAGAAATTAGAAAGCAAGGGCCTGTTTAGCGAGCCTAGGGAGCATCCACGTCACCTCATGAATTATATTTTTTAATTCAAATTATGTTAACAACTTTTTACTGTGAGGCTCACTGATAAACCAATAATATTAGTACATGTAATTAATTATAGGCCAGGGGCGTGCAACGGTCGGTTCGGTTCGGTTTTTACCAAAATTTGAACAACCAAACCGAACCGTCTATAATTCAAAACCGAACCGAACTATTGCAAGTCGGTTCGGTGCGGTTCGGTTCGATTTGTTTGGTTCTAACCTCATCAAACTTCTTATCAAACAACAAACTGTGTTAAAGAAAAAACAGATATCAACAAAGTAGGAGATTATGAAGCATTAAACACCGATATAATGATATTGTTTTCAACCCATAATGATTCAGAAAATGAGTTTAGGGTTTGAGTCTTTAACTCTTTAGGGACGGGTCGGATAGGGTTTGAGATCAGAATGGGTAGTATTGCACTATATTCGGTCGGTTCGGATCGGTTCGGGTTGAAAAGTTTTCAAACCGACTTGAACCGCCCTACTCATAAAACCGATTTTTTCGTGTCGGTTCGGGTCGGTTCGGTCGGTTTTGAATTATGGACGGTTCGGTTCGGTTTTGATGCAGTGTTATTGAAAACATAGTGTGTATATTGCAGTGTTATATGCATATATTGCGTACAAAGTGTGCAGACGTTGATGCAGTGTTATATGCATATATTGCGTGAAAAGTGTGTGAATATTTCACTATTTTTTCTTGCTCTTGTTTCAATATTTTACGCTTGGAAAACCATAAAACGTTGAAATTTAAAATTTGGCTTATCTTGAGGATATAGTCCTTTCTTCCACCATCAAAGTCTTTTCCCTACCAAAAAGGGCTTGAGGACGGAGAACAGCTCTTAAATTATAAAAGTCTTTAATCAATACCTCTTTGGTATATCGGTTGTACTATTTCGGCATAACCATTTTTACTCCTAATTTTTTTTAATTAGTACTTATGCTTCTCAATCTTAGACAATATTAATTTTTAGGGGTTTTTATTTCTAGACCCAAAAGTTTACCCTGATTTATCTATAAACCTAACATCTTTTGCTTGTATCTTTAAACCCAATCAGCCTTTTGTATTTGTTTTTAAACCCAAATTATATAATTTATAGGTAGAGTATCTTTTATTTATACATTAACATGGTAAAAATGCCAAAATACCCCTTTTAATTCCCCACTTAAATCCTTATTTATCTCTCCTCTTTTCCCTGTTCTCCTCTCTCAAACCCAAACCGAAAAACCCAAAAAAAAAAGAAAATAAAAGAAATTACTCCTCTTCTTTCCATCTTGTTTTTGGGCCCTCACCGAGTTAAAAATCCCTCTTCTTCTCCGTCTAGTCTCTGAGCTCTAACTGAAAAAATTCTCATTGTGGTTGAATTTCCCCCCCAGTTAGATTCCTAACCTATAATCTTCCCCTAGTCTTTCCCCCAATTGGTCCGTCGTGTGATAGCCGCACCTCCCTAGCAGTTCTTCGCCTTATAGTCACCGTCGCCTCCTTCAGCAGTTTGCCTGCCTGCCCCCATCTTCTCCAGTGCCTCTCCTGAACGTCGGCCGCCTCCTTCTTCAGTGCGTCTCCTGACCGCCGGCTGTCGCCTTCTCTAGTGCAAACTCTAGATTCTATCCAATGTGCTTTGGCAGGGACTTGATAAACTATAAGCTTTGAGTTGTTTGTATTTTTTTCTTCAGGAACTTGAGAGATCCAAAGGACAAATGACCCTCTTGTATTTTGTTAATCATAGTGCAGAAATTAAGGATAAGCTCTCTTGCGTATTGGTTGTTTTATAGTTGATCGCTATTAGTTTGCTCAACGTTTGTATAATTGCGCTTTCTAATATGAAAGATAATGTTTATCTAATGTAAAAATTGGTCCATCATAACAAGTTTTGCCTCCTTATATTCTATTTGCAACCCAGGTTTCTCAGTTTTCTAATATGTAAGTATAGCAGGATAATCTGAAAATATAGCGTGATAACTGAAAGTATGGCGTGATAATATGTAAGTATAGAGGGATAATATTTAAGTATAACATGATAATCCGAAAGTATAGTGGGATAATATATAAGTATAGCGGGATAGTCTAAAAATATAGCGAGATAATCTGAAAGTATAGCGGGATAATATGTAAGTATAGCAGAATAATCTGAAAGTATAGCGGGACAATTTGAAATTAATGAAGTTGAGATTTAATTATATCTTAAATTAAAGTGATGAATATCTACCAAAATCAAGCAACCACACCCTATGCATTAATGAAGTTGAGAAGAGAGATGGGAACTAATTGGTGGATTTAGTAGAGTTGATGAATGAAATAATGAATGAGAGAGTAGAATTAATTGAGAAATTAAGAGAGAGAGAGAGAAACCTAGATATTTTTTTCTCTCGTAGGAGCACTTTCTCTCTCTCTCTCTCTCATTAATTCTCAATTAATTTAGTTTTTAAATATTTTAAAGGGGCCCACAAAAATTAAAACCCAGGAGATATGAGGGAAGGGTATAATTGGGTTTAAAAAAAATTAAGGACGGCCCACATATGCATGTGCTGTATTTTAGAAGTTGGGTTTAGAGATAAATATTATTTGGGTTCAATGATACAAAAATAAGTTACTGGGTTTATAGATAAATCATGGTAAACAAATGGACTTAGAAACAAAAACCACTAATTTTTATAGATCTCAAACTAACATATGGTAATTCAGTCTTTTTTTTAGTTAAATGGAGGATGAAAGGTAATTTATCATCACATGATTACCACATGAAATCTCAACCTAAAATGAGAAGTAATATCGTCTAGAATTCAGGAGGTGGAAATGCTAATAAAAGTACATGAACTGTGCATTCGAGTTTCCCCTGATAATATCTACTAGATATAGAAGATACAGCCGATATATAAATACACATGAACTGTGTTCAATTGATTAGCCCCTTAATCTCGCAGATATACAGGAGACATGCCAACTCAAACTACAGAAGCCCTGCCTCATTGTCAGCAATTAATGACAAATACATCGTCAGTGGTTCAAAAGATGTACTGTGTTTATTTGTGGGTTCACCAAATTATAAATGTAGTCATAGATTAATATAGACCATGATCACATCGCGTGCAATCAAAAACATTAGGACGGTGAAGGTGAAGATCTGACAAAGATTTCAGAGTAACACTAATTTCTTTTTCCTTTTCATCCAATGTTATTTGAAATTTGATTTTTAGACTAGTTAGAAAATAATGTGAAATCTGCAAAGTTTTTTCAACGGCAATTAACAAATATGCTGACAATCTTTCTCTCTCTTTTTTTTTGGTTGGTAATTTAAAGTTATGTGCAATTATTCCTCTGTCATCCACAAATATCACATGGCCTAGTTAAGCATGGCATTAAATTCATTTTTTTTTCCTTTCTAAATTCTACTCTTTTCCTGGTTAATATATTTCTGCTGTTCCTTCCAGCTAATTACAGAAGAACATTGCTCCTTATAAATAAATTGATTTGTGCTATGATCCCTTATCTAACTTCCTTTAATATCAATTTGATAATTAATTTATAATACAATGTTATCTCCATCATATCCTCACTGTCCAATATTAATGGATGAATAGTCTCCCACGATATGGGGTTCTCATGATGGGGACACGTCTTTTCTCTCCAAGAAACAAAAAACAAAGGAGAAGATATCATTGTGATTATGTAGTTCAGAGAGAGTATAATCAGCTGATTTGCTTAGCACAGCTGTTTTGTTCGATAGCGGATAATCTCGCTTAAGCAACTAGATTATGCTACTAGAAATAGTTTAAGATTGGATTATAATTCTTTAACAACAACAAATTATTGGATTTTGTTAGGATCCTCTGGTGATCAGTCCTGATCAAGCCCACTTGATCACTAGAGTTGGTGTTAATTATTAAACACTTTGGTCTGGATCGTGTCTGGAAAAGAGAGATAATTTCTCACTTAATTTTGTTGAGGGTCAGGTTGATTTACTTTGTCCCAATTGACTCAAAACTGCTAATCCTATTTGAGTCATCAGTCTAAACATATTTAACCATATAATCATGTGCTAATTATGGATAGACCCCTGTGCTATCGCCAAATTGAACTTCCTATTCTAACGTTCTATTGTTGCATGTAAACCCCCGAAAGAGTTCTATTGTTGCAGATAGACCTCCTAGGTGAAAAATCTATTGTTGGGGATAGACCCTTGAAAAATGTTTAAAAAAATCACTCAATGACTCTATCTTCAACAATAAAACTACAAGGGTAATAAGTTCAATTTAGCAATAGTACATGGGGTCTATCTGCTAACCCTATACTTACCTATTTTTTCAATGTAGGACTGAATCTTATCTCATGTCTTTGCTAAAGCAAACCACATTAAAGCAAATGGATCTCAAATAATCCTCACAAATTTTTATCACACTAATAGAGATTTAGACTTTTATGCATCCAAATATTGCCGATGTCAAGGATCTCTAGAAAAGAGTTGGTGAGCAGAACTGGCTGTTAGTTTTCTCATAATAGTTTCCTTAATAAATAAATAATAATAAATAATAAATAATAATAAAAGAAGTTTTCTTGGATGACAGCAAAGCCCTGCAGTTTACCATCATCTTGCACTTAATTGATAGACAAAAAAATATTAAAAATTAAACTACAACTAGAGTTGTGTACAGTACATATTTTGGGTACTTTGCTTGATGCTAACGGTCCCATAGTTGGTAAAGCATCAAGTCTGTTGGACTTTAGGTGCTGTTTGTTTCCTTTTTTTGAG